CTGAACCCGTACGCGTACGTGCCGTTTGGACTCGGCCCACGTAACTGTGTCGGGATGCGATTCGCCATCCTGGTCATGAAGATGGTCATCGTGCGCATCCTGCAGAAGTACTCTGTGGAAAAGTGCAGCGACACCTTGGTAAGACCGACAGCCTGCAACAATTCAGTCGTTCTGCTCTGTTGCCATGTCAACGTTTCATTTCTGTCTGTTTCCATCTTCAGGTCCCAATTCAGTTTGACTTTAGGTTCCAACCTACCAAGCCTCTGGTGGTGAAATTTGTTCCCAGAGAACTATAATGGAAGACTTATTAATTTTTTTTTTAATAATCTGGATGGATGATTGCTTCTGAATGTTGTGTAATTCAATCACTGCTGAGAGATCATGTAACTTGGCTGTGCTTTCTAAAGTCCGTCTTTGTTGGCTGTCGTGAATAGCGGACACAGACAAAATGTTGCAGTTATTTCAGTTTTTGAGGTGAAGGCCACTGTGTGTGTGTGTGTGTGTGTGTGTGTGTGTGTGTGTGTGTGTACAGTGCCCTGCAAAAAGTGTTCACACTTCTAGCATTTCTTCAAAATATGCAAAGCTAAAATCACAAACTTTCATATGGATGTTGAACATTGATGTGAATGAGCAACACAAAGCGATATTTAATGTGCAGCGGAAAATTAAAAAAATCAATGTTTTAACATTTCCTTGTAATAAATAATTTTTTTAAATTTTTAGATGTGAAATATTCCTTTTCATGTGAACAAACATGTTTACTAGATTTTAGAGGATTCTACCACATTTTTAATTTTCAAATTTTTGTAAGACATTTTGACAACAATCTGGACTTTCCAATCCAAAATACTATTTACTTCATAAAAAAATTTAATGTTTAGGTAGCACACATCATAAAACTAAACAGTTTTTTGATTTTCAGAATGCCGTATAAAGCTCTTTCACTGCTTTCCACCCCCAATTCAAATTCAAAAACACTTTATTAACCCCAAAGGGAAATTAAATGTTGTAACTCACTAATTTAGATTCTTCAGAGTTATTGAAGATAACATCCCGCCTTAAAAATAATTACATAAAACCTGATGGTTTTAAATAATCAACAATTCTTGGAATTATAAATGAGGACTTCTAATTATAAAAATTCA